GCATAACTAGTAAAGCAATGTTTCTGGATGCTCCTGGGAAACAGATTCCAGAAGAGATTAGCCAATTAAGAAAAGAAAAAGAAGGGGAGGATTATGATGATGATTTGTTAAATTCTTTTTTTTTTATTTAATCAGGAATCAAACTCAGGACCTTGTGCTTGCCAGGCAGGAGCTGTGTTGCTGAGCTACATCCCAGGGCTTAGCTACCTCCTCAGCCCTTCAGTGATAATTTGAATCAGCAGACTGAGTAAAGAACATCTTCCCAGCCTAACGTGGGCAAGTCCATCCAATCAACTGAAATCCCAGAAAGATCAAAAAGACAAGTAAAGGCAAACTGACTCTTGCCTGGAGCTTGGACATCCACAGTCTTCTGTCCAAAACTTCAGGCACACTGGTCTTCAAACTCCAAAATGTGTACCAGTAGACCCTCAGCTTCTCAGATCTCCAACCTCAAACAAAGTTACATCATCAGCTCCTTTGCTCCTTCCAGTTTGGACAGAGCTACACCACCAGATTCTCTGATTCTCCGGACTGCAGACACCACATCATGAGATTTAGTCTCCTTAATCTTGTGAGCCAATTCTTACAAAAAAAAATCCCTCTCAGATAGATAGATAGATAGATAGATAGATAACAGATAGACAAATAGACAGTCACGTAGATGATAGATAGATAAGATAGGTAGATAGACTTAATTCTTTCTCTTTAGAGAACCCAACACAGCTCTTAGATTTTTTCTCCCTCCCCTCCTGCCCCTTGCACCGCAGAGTTGCCGTGATGTAGGAAATGTGTCTAGCATGCTGAGGACAGTAGATGTGATGGGTTCCTTTCCTGATCCCTTCAAGCCACAGCATGTATATCTCAAAATGACAGGTGAAACAAAACAAGCTAGGGAAGCTGCTTGGTAAGCTTTCGCCATTTGTACCCTCTGGTTCATGTCCGTTCTTCTATTCTTGTTGGTCCACAGGGGCACCGCTCTGCACAGAGGGATGGCGCCACCTGGGGTCTCCTGACACTGAGGCTGCTCCCTCTGATGTCTGGCACTTCTGTAAAGGAGTTTCCCTCTAAATACCTTCCTGCTACCTGTCTCTTCTGGAACCCAAATACTCAGAGTCATACTTGGTCAAGTTTTAACGAAGGTGGGCAAATGGTTTCAGAAGAACCTGGGACACAACCACCCAAGTCAGGCTCCCAACTCTCACTCTGACCTTTTGCATGTTAGCAAATAAGCACCTAGAAAGAAAAAGGACTCAGATCTCAGAAAGAATTTAGTGTTAGCTCTACTCTCTTGCCAGGAAAAAGCGTCACAACAGAGCAAGAGATACGACCGTTTCAAAGCCACACATGGCTGTGTACTCTGTAATCCTAGAACTCTGGCAGGCTGAGGTAAGAGGATCATGAGTTCCAGTCCAGCCTGGGTGACTTAGAGACTTAACATGGTCTTACTTCGAAAAAATTTGTTAATAATATCTTCAAAAAATACTTTCTTCAGATCTTGAAAACAACCCAAGTGTCCATCAACTGAGGAATGGATAAAAAAGTTGTGGTATTTCTATACAATGGAGTATTATTCAGGTATAAAGAAGGATCACATTGAGATATTTATCAGTAAATGGGCGCAGCTTGAGACCATACTCATAAGTGAAATAAACCAATCTCACATGTGTGAATACCGAATAGTTTCCCTAATGTAAGTAATGATTCAAATATATAAAAATATGTGGTAATCATGATTCCCCATTATGTGGCCTTGAAGCCTTATAAAGTTTTCACTTATTAATTGGAAAGGCTATATTCTGGGCTTCTTGATATGGAAATATTTGAAGCTATAGTATATGAAGTTTTATTCAAATATTTCAAGGAAAAAGACATACACTATGGTAACTACTATTAAGTCAGATTATTTGGTGGTGAAGCACTAGGTTGCTGAAACAGTCATGCTTTGACCTGTATTGTTATATTGTTATGTCCTGTTTTATCTCAATCTCTCCCTTATTCTTTAAAAAAATTATTTAGTTATTTCTTATGTTTGTTTTAATTAAGGGGAAAAATTTAAAAAATTAGCAGGATATATAATAGTAACTTTTTTTATTTCCTATTAACTAGTTTTGAAGTCCTGTAATACTCCCACGATCTTGTTTTGACTGATTAGACTCTGTTCCATTCTGTCTGATAGTATCAAGTTTGAAGGTATAGGCAACTACTTTGAAGGCAATAAGATTCACTAAGATGCCCATTCTGGTTTGACTATTGTCTCCTTTGGAAATCCTGTAATGTTTACAATGCTTAAGTTTTATTGGTCTTGTTCTCTACTGTTTTGTTCAACTTTATAATATCTAATGAGATAGACAATTCTTTTTAGGGAAACAAGAGACATTGTTGATAACCATTGTTGACAACTTTGTACTCTGTTTTACATCATGTGCTATGTCTATCCTTGGTTTTGACTGACAGCTCTGTTTTGCCATATTTGACTTTATTCTCTCCCCCCCAAAAAAGTAATAAGAACTAAGGAATAATAAAACCCAAAATGTGTAAATTTTGTTGTAAAAAAGAGAGGGAAAAAAAGAGCTCTAAAGGATACAACAGCAAGTGTGTTTAGGGGTGTTAAATAGCTGACCATATTAATGTTTTTGGTTGGATCATTGAACATACTGTTCGCAGTCTCACTGTTTGAATGTCCACTTTGTATGCTTTAGTACTGTGATTTGAGCAAATCTCTAAGACGATAATATGTAATTTATTAACTGATGATTTCTTACTGTTTTTTTTTGTAGTTCTGTATTACTTGTATCCTTACACCGCTTTGTTTTATTTTGTGTTTTTCTCTTTTTCCTTTTAAATAAAATTTTAAAAAAATAAAAAATACTTTCTTTTCTCTATCTCCATCCTCACATCCACAAACAGGATGGTGAAGGAGCAGGGGTCAGGGGCTAGGATCTATGAGACATTCCAGGCTCTGGGGAAGTGCAAACCAGCAGTCAAGATGGAGCTGAACCTCACAAGGGGAAGCCCAAGGTGTGGGTGGAATGGAAGCATACTGTCACCCAGACACACTAGGCCACACAGACCACCCAAATGTGCCTTCTGGAAATGGCTTGGAAGGCACAGGTTGGGACGAGACCCAAGGCAGCATTCACTGAGCGGCTTTGAAGGTGACACAGTGCCGCTATAGCTGGGCACCTCACATGCCTCACAGCTGGGCCTTGGACAGTTCTCTACCACAAGGGAACACACGGGGAGGTCTTCTCACTGCTGTTCTTCATAGCCAGCCCTCGACCCCTCAGGATCACATCACAGGAAGGTCTGTGCCTGCTCAGTGATACTTTGGACCCATCCATCAATGAAGGAGGAAGTCATGGGCCTCATGAGGAGGGGCATGAGGCAGGTCTGTGTCACAGCACATTTTTTGCTCATGAAAAGAGAAAATCAGCAAAAGGAAGAAATCTGTCTCCTACCGCAGCATACAAAAATCTCCCTGTGCCGGAAGCTCACAGGCTCACAAATTCTCTCTAGGCATCTCCATTACACACATTTCATTTCGGAAAACTGCCCTAGCCCTCCTCCTTCCCTGGGGTAATTCTTTGCTCATTTCCGCACAGCCTACTACTAGAACCCACACATTCTTCTTTGGTTGGCTTTATTTTACTTTTTTTACTTCACTTTGTATTTTTGGTTTCTGATTTTGGTTTTGTTGTTGTTTTCTCTTTGTTTTGTTTTGGTGCTGGAGACTGAACTCAGGGCCTTGTACAAGGTAAGTACACGTTCCACTACGGAGCTACATCCCCAGCCCATTCTCAGTTATCTTCCGCTGGGGTCCAGACATGAAGGCACAACACCTGCGTCCCGGCACTCAGGGAGGCTAAGCCAAGAGAATCGCTAGTTACAACCCAGCCGAGGCAGATTAGTGAGAGTGAGAGAGACACTGTGTCAAAACAAAAAAAATAAAAATAGGGCTAGGGTGTAGCTCAGTGAGAAGGCCCTGAATTTCATCCCAATATCGAGAAGGAAGGAAGGAAGGAGGAGGGAGGGAGGGTCAAACGTTGGGGCGTACACTTGTAATACCAGCACTTGGACAGCTGAGTTTGAGACACAGGGAGTTCCCGCAAAGCTTGGAATAGAGAACCCCATGGGGGAGGAGGGGAGAAAGGGAGGGAGTATGGCTCAGTGACAGAGCGTGTACTTATCGTGCATGAAGCCCTAGCTTCCATCCATGGTACCCAAAACAAAACAAAATATTAGACTTTGTGTTTAAACTTTTAGATTGGACGAAAAAAAAAAATTTTAAAAAGTGCTTGCCTAGCAAATGGGAGCCCCTGAGATCAAACACCAGTTCTAGGGGAGAAAGTGTCAGCCAGGCATGGTGGCTTATAATACTGTAAAAAACAAAAACGGCTAGGAAAGTAGCACAGGAGGAAGGCCTTGAGTGTGTTCCCTCAGTACTGTATTACCATTATTACTACTACTAATAATAATAATAGCCATTAATATAATGATGCTTAAATCTTGAAAAAAACATATAGTGGGGGCTGGAGATTAAGCTCAGCGGCATAAGCGCCTGCCTTGCAAGCAGGCAGTCGTGAGTTCGATCCCCGGTACCGATAAAAACGAAAAAGACAAAAAAAAAAAAAAAAAAAAAAAAAAAAAAAAAAGTATAGTGGAAAGAACAAGGACTAAACACATGACAGCTAAATGCTCTTGTAAGTATCACATCTCTACATCCTGCTTGCTGCATAGTTTATATGGCTTCGCAGGTTACCTCCTGAAGGCCTCTTGTGGTGGTAATTTGACACTTTGGCCACCAGGTGGAGATGTCCCACCACTTTTCGTGTATTTACTGTTAACAGAAAGGTTCTCAAGAAATTTAGAAGTGGGAGAGGGGTCAAGTTCTTCTGTTCCGCTAGTTATACACATAAGCATTTGCTTTCATGCCCAAAAGTGGAAGAACTTGGAGGATGAGTTTAAGAAATCAGGCAATGGCTGCCCCTTCCTTTTTGTTTTCTTAGTGGTTTGGTTTCCATGGGAATCAGTGTTTGCGCAACAAAGCTGGATCCATTTACTGCTCCTCTAGGCTTGTTGAGCCCAGAGAGGAGCTGTGAGATGCTGCAGGAGATGTAATGGTGGATAAAGGCAGAGGATTTGGAAAATCTGGACAGCAGGAGATGCCTACAGGTACATGGGAGTGGTGCGGAAAAATGTGAAAGGCAGACAGTCTATTTTAGTTCAAATAAGATTTGGAGTTAGGGCTGGATGGGGTGGGGCAAGCCTGTAATCTCAGCACTCTGGGAGGAGCTCATCCCTGCAATTTAGTAACTTAGCAAAACCCTGTCTCAAAGTAAATTATACATGTATTTTAAAAGGAGATAGGGGATGAGGATACAATTCAATGAAACTCAACTCAGTTTCAATTCCCAATACTTCTGAAACAAACAGAAAAAATTTGGAAGGCAGATGTGACAGTGACGGTGGTAATCCCAGCACTCAGGAGATTGAGGCAGGAGGATCATGACCAGGCTGGCCTTCATAATGAGTTCAAAGTCAGTCTGGGCTACGCAACAAGGAGAGTGTCTCAAAAGACTAAAAATAAGGTTCAAGAGCATTGAGCTCTTTTCCAAAACTGTTCAAAGGCACTCTGTCCTCCCCAAATGGCTCTTTCCAGGACACACTTTGAGCCTTATATATCAACAGACAAGTCAGAACCAGCATGGAGTTTTCCTAATGTGTCCTTGTGTTCCAAAAATTCTGAGAACTCTAAGGAAAGACCCTCCTCAAGCTCCTCAGTCTTCCAGTACGTTTTAAGGAGGAAGCAGAGGCTGGGGCTCAAACCCAGAACCTCACACATGTTAGGTTCTACACAGCTCTCCAGCATTGAGATGCTAGGTGAGTACTCCACCAGAGCAAAATGCTTGTTGAGTAAAAAATAGGCAAGAAAAATAAGATAGCTGTGATTTATCTTATTTAGAATCTGAGATAAAGTAACCCAGAATAAAGAAAAAAAATTATCTTTTCATCCAAATCATGAACAGTGAATGACTCAGACACTGTTTTTTCCTGTTGTTCTCCTTAATCAGATGTTTTTCATATTTTTTTGTTAATAGTCTCTGTTCCTCAGAGTATTTGTGCTGCAGTTCAGGCCATTATTCTGTATCTACTCACAGATAGCAGGTGATATGTAAACGAACCCTGAGACAGAATCAAGTCTCTCCTCTTAATTCTTACCTACTCTCGCTACCCTGCCCTCTCACTTTCTCTCCCATTAAACTCTTTAATTATCACTCTAATTTCCTAACTTATTTGCTGTTTGTATTACCTCCTACAAATACAGATAATATGCCTCCCTCCCCAAACTTCTAAATTTTAATCTTACCTTTTTAAAAATCCTTATTTTAAGTGAATTCTTCAGGATCCTCCTTTAACCTGCTCACACTGCAGTTGGAAATGAACTTTCCCTCCTCTCACTGTGTGCACACTCGACATGCATCTCTCCCACACTTGCTACCTATCCAAGAGAGCCTAATATTAGCTATCAAGAGCCAGGATTGTAGCTGAGCAGCACAATGACCACCTGGAAAGTGCAAGGCCCTGATTATGATTCCAATACAGAAAACAAAACAAAAACAAAAACATATATATGGTACCAAGTGCAGTGAGTGTTGAAGATTAACTATGCCTGGACCAAATCTTTAACTGAGTTTTGTTACATCTGCACCTCAGTTGGGTGAATTGGATGCCATCAGCCTGATTTTTCATTTGAAGAAATTGAGACAGAGAAGCTCAGTAAAATGCTCGTGGTCATGCAGGTGAAAAGTGGGGGAGCAATTTAAACCCAGAATCACGGTGCAGACTTCACGCTGTCTTTACCACCAATTTTGTTAAGCCAAATGTGGTGACCCGTGCCTTTCATCCCAGTGCGCTGGGAGACTGAGAGGATCACAGGTTCAAAAGCCCAGTCTGGGCAATTTACCAACTTGGCAAGAATTTGACTCAGAATAAAAGAGATAGAAAGACTGGAGATATAGCTCAGTGCAAAGGCCCTGGTGTCGCAAATAAAAAAATAAAAGTGTTAAGAGTCTCATTTCCACAATCATGCAAGCTCTGGCTCAATGCTTCCGGCAAGCTACCAACCATCTCCAAACTTCAGTTTCCTAACTGATCAAACAGGGGAAGTAGAGTCTGGGAATTTAGCTCACTGGAGCTTGGGTTCAAGGTCTACATCCCATCCTCAGTATCACAAAAAAAGAAAAAGAATAAGAGTAATAGCATCTACCTCACAAAATTATTGTAAAAGGAAGTGTAGGTAAAAGAACTTCACGTAAACTGAATTTTGGTGGCACGTGCTTATAACCTGTTACCGGGGAGAGGGATTTAGTGAAACATTTTTTTAAAATAAAAAATTTTAAAAGGCCTGGGAGCTGTGGCTCAGTGCTAGTCTAGCATGTGAGATGCCCTGAGTTCAATCCCTATAACAGTTTTTTAAAAGGCTCCTGTAGGGCTTGTCCAAAGAAGTAGCCCATAAATGGTAGCTATTAACATTACTTGCATTAAGTTCTTTGCTCGGTAATGCTCTTTAAAAAAGAATTTATTTTTATTATCTTTGCATATTACACATGTAGTATGGTGCTTTGTATATTAATTATGTCCATTTGTTAAAGGAAAGATGAATAAATGGATACACTGCTGCTGATAAGCATAATTTCTTCTCATTTGACAATCTCTGAAACATGTTCCCTCTGGTCAGTTTTCTCATTTTTGTGATTGTTGTTTTTTGAGACAGGGTCTTACCATGTAGTCCTGACTGGCCTCGAACCATAGCAATCCTCCTGCCTCAGCCTCCTGAGTGCTGGGATCACAGGAGTGTACCACCACACCCAGATACCCCATTCACTTCTACTGTTTAGTCTTACAAAAGTCTTTGCTCATATGCTGCTCAACTCAGCAGCACAGCACTTACCTGGGGATCGAACTCACGACTGCCTGCTTGCAAGGCAAGCACCTACCTGGTAAACATGAAGTCACAAGTTCAATTCCCAATACCAAACAAAAAAAAGTAATGAGTAATCCTTGCTCATTACAATTTCATACATGCAGTTTCGTTGGCCTGGAAAGCCTTTCCTTCATTTCTGTATCAAATGATATCAAGCCAGGCGTAGAAAAAAGATGCACCCTTCCCATAAGCCAGTGGTAAGTGTGGGCCAGGAGGAGACACAGGTAGCACCCTTCCCATGAGCCAGCTGGCGTGGAGGCTGGGAGACAAGAGCTGAGCACCCCACACCCCAAGCAACACAGACTGAGTTGATAGCAACTGAAGTACAGAAACAACTTAATGCTTGTATTGTTTGATTGACTTTGCAGGCCTAAAGCCAATAGTCTGAGGATCTATTTAGAGAATAGCAATAAGCAATATAGCAACTGTGGGGGAGTTTCTTCTGTCTTGTTTTTGAAACCCAATGTTGTTTTCACTGTTTGCTCCATGTTATTATTTTGTTTTATTCAATGTTTTATTTTGATTGGTTTTTAAAATAAATAAATAATGTCAAGGACAGTGTCCATCTCACCTGTGGCCTCCTCTCTGAAAAATTCTTCCCCAGTTTGCCCAGAGAGGGACATTCCCTTATTCTTCCCAGGAATCCTTATGTACATCTCTCCAATAGTTTCTCACATTGTACTATATTTATTTGTTGTTCTGCCCACCCCTGCTTCAGAGGGAGAGACAGGGCCCATGCCTTTTTTGCCTTTATAACCCTAGCATCCTGATTCTCTTGTCACTTTTTTCAAAACATGATACATTTTTGTGTGGAGAAGTATCTATGTTTAATTCTACTTGCCCCCTAACTAGAGACCTGTTTGGTGAAATATAAGAAGCACCTGATAAATACTTGTTGAGAGTATAACTAGTTGAATATCTGGCTGGTTGTTTATGTCTCAAAATAAAGAAAGGATTTTTGTGGCCTGAGCTGGGGGTTAAATCCTAAGGTGATTCTGCCATCTGGAGATACAGAATCATGAACCTATAAGCTGCTTTGGTTTTTGACAGGGCTTACTTTTGGAGGTCATATGAAGATAAAGAAGCCCAAGAGGGTTGATAGGCTTTAATAATTTAATTGAATTTAATTTAACAATGCAAATTATACGTACATATTTTTCAGCACTGGGGATTGAACCCAGGACACATAAAGAGACCGTATGCCCTCTACATTTTTGTTAGCTTGTTTGAGGTTTTTTGAAATGGTATCCTATTGTCATTCTGACTGGCCTTGAACTTACTGTGTAGCACAGGGTGGCCTTGAACTCATAGTGATCCTCCCGCCTCAGTCTCCCAAGTGAACCATTGGGCATTAAAACTCTTATTACAGGGCTCACAGCCTGAGATATGGCTTCTACTTGTAGGCCTGAAGATCTTTGTAATATGTAAGGGCACTGTTATAGAATAGCAAACTTATAGACACTTTATAGCAAAGTTAAAACTCAGTTAGTGGCCGGTAACTGTGTTCCTGCTGCTTGTCATGTAATTAACCTGATAAATTCCATCAGCCTTGACTGTCTGAGTCCAGCTGCTTCTCCCTGATAATAGGTCAGATCAACTCAGCTGTGTCCAGTTGCAAGATTAGTATTTTTCCTTACTTAGAAAAAAAAACATGTTGTTTAAACTGAACTTTAAGCTGACTTAGAGCTGGTGATTTGTAACTGATTCCCACCAGCCTGCTAGCATAATAAAAGTTTTCTTCTAACCCCTCTGTGCAAAGAGTCTTCCATTCAGTTTGATACTGGTTTTTCCGCAACAGCTGGATTCAGACAGTACAAAGGAACAGAGCCTGAAACAGATGGAAGAAAGTTAGTTTATACTGGGGCTGGGGATTTAGCTCAGCGGCATAAGCGCCTGCCTTGCAAACAAGCAGTCGTGAGTTCCATCCTTGGTACAGATAAAAAAAAAAAAAAAAAAAAAAAAGGAAGTTAGTTTATATCACACAAAAGTAACAATGCTTAGTAGCTAGAATATTTATATTGATATTTTTATCCTATAAGCAGATCTCTACAAGCATTAAAGTAACATAATGGCAGTAATCTAAGATAGGCTGAAGGATACATTTTTGGGAGAACTAGTAAGAATAGGAATCTGGACTTCTCACAGGTTAAGATGTTACAGTGTGGCTAGAATCTACCAGTAACAGTGGTGCAGTGTTTAGAACCACTAGTCTAACTGTTTTTATACTGCAATTAATTATTTTACTTTGTGGTTATAATATCCTCCTGTGTATTTAAGACCAAGTCAAAATAAGACCTGTGCCAGTCAGAATTAACCTCCTTTCTTTCTTTCTTTCTTTCTTTCTTTCTTTCTTTCTTTCTTTTTTTTAATTTCTTTTTTTCTCCCAAGGTCAGTCAAGGCTCATCAGGGGTTGTTTTGGGAACTGTATGAGGAGCCTCTGCGCCCCTCTCATTCTTTGCCCTGTTGGTTGTGTCACTTGCCAGGATGGGATGTGTCAGGGTTTTGCCTGACCACAGAACTTCGCTTGGATACATAGAAATATTCCCCCCCCCCCCAGTGGCCTTCGTCTTTATAGAGTACACACTGGCTGGCCCACTCCTGGTCCCTGGGGCCTCACAAGTTCCCTGCCCAGAAGATCAGCTGACTCACCCGAGTTTAGGGCCCACTTGCAGGGACTCCATCATTCTCTGAACCTGCCTGACCTGGGAGGGTAAGAGCCAAGATGCTGACTCACCTTTAGCTCCTTTATCTTCCTCACCTTTGGGGCCCAGATCTTCATTGTTGAACACCCAGGTTTGTTATAGAGGCTTTCGAGTGGAAGCAGTATGTCTTAATCCCCTTATGATCCTTTCTGGATATTAGCACCCCTTTTACTGAATGACCAGGGGCTGGTATTAATATTGTTAGTGTCTATGTTACCTGCCTGTTTTGTTTTGTTTTTTGGTACCGGGGATCAAACTTATGACTTTGCACTTGCCAGGCAGGTGCTTGTGCCACTGAGCTAAAGCCCCACCCCTGTGCGACTCATCTTTTTTTTTTTTTTTTTTTTAATGGCTTTTTCCTTTTTACCGGTACCAGGTGTCGAACTCACGACTGCCTGCTTACAAGGCAGGCGCTTATGCCACTGAGCTAAATCCCCAGCGCCGTGCTACTCATCTTAAAGGTGGTGATTCTCATCTTAAAATTCTCAGGTTGTTAGAAGTTATACTCTTGCAGAGAACAGTAAAAGTTTTACAAGGAAAATGTAAAACAAAACTACTAAAAGCAAAAAACATCCAGTTAGCACATTAGTTCTGAATTAAGAAGCATAATTAATTACTGATTTCTCTGAGTTCACTGAAGAGAAAGATTTGTGCCAGTATAGTTCAGACAAATAAATGCAGATGTCTTGTGCCCTGGGTGAATGATTTGGGGATGACAATGTGCAATGTATATACCATTGTTGCCTTGATTGATGTGTTTTAGATTTTTTCTTCTTTGAAATAAAATGGACTTGGGGGAAAAAAAGAAACATTATTATATATTTTGTTTGCTTGTTTTGTTATTTGCAATGGTCTCCTTATGCAGTTCAGGCTGACCTTGAACTCACTGTGTAGCCGAGACTGGCCATGAACTCACCATGACGCTTCCCAGGGCTGGGATGACAGGCAGCTCCACCACACCAGTCTTCTAGGATATATATTTTAAGTTTACCTGTCCACACCTAATTTTATATATGCTTATGAAAACCAGGATACTTGACAAGCATAATTAATACTTTTTTTGTCAAAGAAAAATCAAAAAACTGTAATAGTTGAAATACAGAAAGCAATAGGAATTGTATTTTAACTTTTTAATAAGAGTGAATAGTGGCCTGCTTAGCTAATAATCTAGGTAAAATGTATGTTAACAATTTTAAGAGACTTTTATTTTACCAACCAACGGGTTAACAGTTGTTAAGCCCTGTAAACAAAAGATATTTAGAGTGATTACATGATTTTTATTTCTCTATAAGCCAAATTAAACATTTTGAGGAAACATGTACCTACTGTAGCACAAAACAAGTATACATTAACCAAGATCATATGTAACATTTTGTTACCAAAATGTAACATTTTTAAAAAACTTCTGTGAACTTTACTGCAAGGCTAATTCCAAAGTAATAGCTAAGATTTAGAGATCTCTTTATAAAGAAAAAATGAAATTTTTAGGTCTTAGATGAATTTGTTGACCCTTAAATAACTGTAACTTATTTGAGGTTTTGTTTATTTTTGTAAAAGGTGGGGGAAAGCACTCATAGAACCACAAGCATATAAGCAGGGAGGAAGAAAAATGAAAGAAGGAAGGGAGAAGAAAGAGAGAGAAAGAAAGAAAAGAAAAGAGGGCCAGGAACTTAGCTCAGTGGCTCAAGTGCCTGCCTGGAAAGCACAAGGTCCTGAGTTTGATTTCCAATACAAAAAAAAAAAAGGAATGTCCTTTTACTTTCTTGGCTTGTGTTTTTGTTTTGTTTTGTTTTGCTTGCAAGGAACCAAATTCAGGACCTTCCAGGCATGCATTCGTGCCACTGAGCAATATCTCCAGTCCTTTCTTTTTTCTTTGTCTTTTTGAGAAAGGCTCTCACTATGCAGCTCAGGCTGTCCTTGAGCTCATGTTGTAGGCCAAGCCAGCCTCCAACTCGCAGCAATCCTCCTGCCTCAGCTTCTTTAGTTCTGGGAGTGCAGGATGCACCACCATGCCCAGCCTCTAACTCACATTTAGAGAAAAGTCAACTTTCTTTTTTTTTTTTTTTTAATTGGGAATTGAACTCACAATTTTGTGCTTGCCAAGCAGGCACTTGCACCACTGAGCCAAATCCCCAGGCCCCAACTTCCATTTTTTAAAAATTTAATTTAATTAATTTATTTATTTATTGGTACCAGGGATCAAACTAACAACCGCGTGCTTATGCCACTGAGCTAAATCCCCAGCCCTCCAACTTTTTTTTTTTTTTTTGTCTTTTTCCTTTTTATCGGTACCGGGGATAGAACTCACGACTGCCTGCTTACAAGGCAGGTGCTTATGCCGCTGAGCTAAATCCCTAGCCCCCCAACTTTCATTTTTGAAATCCTGTTTAAAATGGTCCCTGCTGGGCATAATGGCACATGCCAGTAATCTCAGTACTTTGGAGTCTAAGGCAGGAGGATCATTGTGAGACCCAGGTCCACTTGGACTATGGAGTGAGTTCAAGGCCAGTTTGAACTGCATAGTGAAACCGTCTCAAAATGGTACCAATTTTTTTTTTTTTTTTTTTTTTTTTTTTTTTTTTGCAGTACTAGGGATCGAACTCACAACCTCATGCTTGCCAGGCAGGCACTTATGCCACTGAGCTAAATCCCCAGCCCAATGGTCCCAATTTTATAAAATATAACCTAAGGTTATGTTAGGATACACAGATACCTAGTTGTCCACAATCCTGTAAGAGGCAGGTGTTATGTACTTCTAAAAAAAAAAAAATAAAGAAAAAACAGAGCCTAGCATGGTAGTGCATGCCTATAATCTCATCACTCTAGAAGGCTGAGAATTGCAAGTTCAAGGCTATCTTGGTCACTGTAGTAACCCAGAGAGATCTTGTCTCAAAATAAAAATAAATTTTAAAAGGGCTGGTTAAACAATAGCAAGTTGGCAAATCTTTCTCACAGGGGAGAGATCAAGAGATAGAAGGAAGATAGAGACAGAAGGAGGAAAGGAGATGGAAAAAAATTGAAAGAAAAACAGAGAAACAGAGCTTTTGCAAATAGGAAGGGGACCAAGAAGTGGAAATACAGAAAAGCATAGAAGGGTAAGGGGCAAAGAAGAATCAAAAGATGTTAAGTGTCTATGCCAATTCCCCATAATAAATATAATCATCATGTACTTTAAAAAGGTGTTTAAAAGGACTATTTCCTGGGGCTGGGGATTTAGCTTAGCGGCGTAAGCACCTGCCTTGCAAGCAGGCGGTCGTGAGTTCGATCCCCGGTACCGATAAAAAGGAAAAAGACAAAAAAAGAAAAGAAAAGACTATTTCCTACATTGCTATGTGAAAAATCTATTCCAGACACTAGACAGGCAGTCTTTGTGTCTCCCTCATCTGACCCAGGAGCAAGGTTTGTTGATTGACCTGCGGGGCTTCCTGAGGGGCCACTGCATGACCCCAGTGTGTACCTCCTGACTCCTCCTACCCTTCTGCTTAGAGATAGAACATGACCCATATCTTCTGGGCTTTTAGGTACAAACACTCATTTTGTATAGATTTGGGAGTCTCAGACTGACCAACGAAAGCTGCAAGGTTTGCAGAAAGAGAAGGCTACACAATTAGTGGGCAAAGGCTGAAAGAAAGGCAAAGCACTTGATTGGATTTACCAGAGTGCATGCCTCGGTTTACCCCTAGCGGCCTCACCAACTGATGTCACACAGTGGAGTCCATGGAAATTCCTTAAAATGAGGAAGATGAGGTGAAGTCCTCAATTACCCACCCGTAGACCAGGTTGTAGGATCTACCTATCATGACAGAAACACATTTGCCAGGTGCATCAGTGAGAGGCATAGAAAGGTTTATTGGGCAGCATTTAAAAGTACTCAGGGAGAATAGAGTGGGCATTCAGGAGACAGGCTTTTTATGGTTTGCGTTTGGGAATTTTTATGTAGTCTTAGGAGTGAAGAGCTGTGGAATTTGTGAATTTATAGTAAAGGGAAAAAAGCAGGGGCTCAGTTTACAGGTGAAAGGCTTAGGTCAAATATATTTTATTTTTAAAGAATTGGGAAAAAAGAAAAAGAAAAAAATTAAGACTGTGAAAGTGAGTAGCCTGGGAAGGAAAAACATTGTAGTCTTGGGAAATTTGCACCCACAAGAAATTTGCAGTTTCTAAGGTACAATTTGAAAATTGTGATTTTCCTTTCTCCTTTCTGTCTTTATTTCTTCTACCCTACCTCAGAAAGAAAGAAAAGAAAGAAGGAAGGAGGAAGGAAGGGAGGAAGGGAGGAAGGGAGAGAGGAAGCAGGGAAGGAAAGTTAGTAGTGGGAGCTCACATTGCCTAAAGAGAGAGACAGAAGGCCAAGGATTTAGCTCAGCAGGCATAAGTGCCTGCCTGGCAAGTGCAAGGGTAAGTCTGACCCCCAGTACCAGAAAGAGAGAGAGAGACAGAGAGAGAGACAGAGAGAGAGACAGAGCGAGAGACAGAGAGAGAGACAGAGAGAGAGAGAGAGAGAGAGAGAGAGAGAGAAGAGAGAGAGAGAACGCGCTTTGGAAAAATGGCGGACCTCTGAAAAGTGAAGATGGAGTTAAGTGATGGTAAAAATAATTTCTGCTGAATAGCAGGCTTATTTCTCCCAAATTCCCTCTCTATGTTCTCTTATGCAGGATATAAGAGAACAATTCAACAGAGATTCCTTTTGTTTTGTTTTGTTTTGTTTTTTGGTACCAGGAATCAAACTCAGGACCTTGCACTTGTAAGGTAGGCACTTGTGCTGCTGAGCTGCATCCCCAACCCAATAAATACAGTCTCCAAAGAAGAACCAAATAGAAATGAAAAGCACAACTCAAATGAAAAAAAAAAAAAAAAAAAAAAAAAAAACCTCAGTGGACATCTTCACCAATAGAAAGGACTATGCAGAAGACAGAATTTCAAGGCTTGATACACTTGAGGCACTATTTCAGACAGAAAGAAAGAAAAACCAAAAATTATGAACAAATATACAAGAAGCCTGGGACACAGGTAAAAGACCAAACTTACTAAGGGCACTGAGGTTCAGACTAATGGTACAGAAAATGCATTTAATGAATAATAACAGATAAACTTCCCAAATGTGGGGGCAGATACTGACCTGTAGATATAAAAGACATTGAGAAACAGGCAATCCTAAAGGGGCACAATTGGAAAAGGACCTCCCCACATCACACTATAGTTAAATGGCAAGAGTACGGAACAAGGCAAGAATAATGAAAGCAGCGTGACAAAATCAGAGGGGCAAAGAAGACCACTATAGGCAAAGGGAACAATCCACTAAGAAAGCATAACACACTTAAACATATGTGTGTCAAACACCAGCTGCACCCAACTCTACGAACAAACTCTACTCGACATAAATGGCCACATAGGTCTCAATATAATAACAGGGAATGACTTCAGTACGCCACTCTCACCAATATATAGGTCACCTAGGCAAACACTCAACAGAGAAACACCAAAGTTAGACTAAACCACTCATCAAATCCACTTAACAGATGGCTACAAGTATTCCACCCAACAAATACAGATGCGCATTCTCAATGGCTCATAGAATATTCTCCAAAATATATAACAAAGGAAGCCCTGACAAAAAGACTGAAATAATTTTGTGTATGTTATCACATAATGACGGAATGAAACTAGAAATTAACAGCAGGAAAAATCACAGGAAGTATACAAATGCTGGAGATAGAATAGTTCACTGTTGAATGATCATCAAAGAAATCAGGGAGCTAATTTTAAAATCCCTTAGAATCAAATACATAGGGAACTACAACATAACAGATCTCCATGATACAGTAAATGCCATTCTAAGAGGGAAAATGATGAGGCCCTATATAAAAAATCAGGGAGATCTTAAACAAATAACCTAATGATACACCTCAACATTCTGTAAAATCAAGAACTAAAGTCATACCCAACAAAAGGAAAGAAACAATAAAGATACAGCTGAAATTACTGAGACAGAGACTAAAAGAACAATGCATGGAATTAATTAAACAGAGTTGGCTTTTACAAAAAGTGAACAAGATTTATAAACCTTTAGCCAGACTAACAAGGAGACCCAGGTCAATAAAACTGGAGATGAAAGGGAGCATATCACAACAGATACCATTGAAATCCTAGGATTATTTGGCACAGCTTTGAAAACCTATATTCTGATACATTGGAGAATCTAGCAGAAGTGGATATATTTCTAGGCATATATGATCTACCAAAACTAAGCCAAAAGGATAGAAAACCTAAACAGATAAACAAAAAGCAATGAGAGAGTAAAGCGGTAGTAATAAAAACTGTCCCAAAAGAAAAACCTGGAACCAACATGCCAATTTTGCCAGTCCCTTTTTTTTTGTACTGGCGATTGAGCTCACAACCTCACACTTGCCAGGCAAGCACTTATGCCACCGAGCTGAATTCCTGACCCCAAAATTCATAGCAACTCAATGCCCCTAGATAGTGGATCGTAACTGAGGAGCATTTGTTTTGTTTTGGGTACCAGGGATTGAACTCGCAATCTCCTGTTTGCCAGGCAGGCGCTTATGCCACTGAGCTAAATCTCCCTTATATATGTATTTATCTATCTTGGTACTGGGAATCGAACTCAGGTCCTTGCACTTGCTAGGTAGGCACTGGGCTGCTGAGTTATAGTTCCAGCCCACTAGTCCCTTTTAAAGGAGAAAGGAGTGCTGGCCAAACTTACCCATGAAATAGAAAAAGAAAGGCCAGCATCACCCTGATACTGAAACAAATCAAGGACACAACAAAAAAAAGAAAACTATAGACTCATATTCTTGAATACAGATGCAAAAACCCTCATAAAATACTCGCAAGCTGAATTCAAAAAACACTAGAAAGATGATACACTACAATCAAGTTGGCTTCATTCCGGAGAAACAAGGATGGTTCAACATATGCAAACTGATAAATGTCACATACCACACAAATAAAATCAAGACTAAAAACCACATGATAACTCAAGTGACACAGGAAAAGGAGTAACAAAATCCACCCATTCATAACGGAAGCCTGAAGAAACCAGGCACTGAAGGGTCATTCCTCATACAATAAAGGAGTAAAGGCTATCAATCCACAGCCAGCATCTTTGGTTTCTCCATTTTGGGGGTTGGTTTTTTTTTTTTTTTCTTTTGCAGTACTAGGGATCAAACTCACGACCTCATGCTTGCCAGGCAGGTGCTAATGTCACTGAACTAAACCCCCAGCCCTTGTTTGTTTGTTTCATTTTGTTTTTTGAAATAGGGTTTTGGATGGTATAGTACCTGCCCGGCAACTGCAAGTGCTAAGGCCCTGAGGTCAAGCCCCAGTACCAAAAAAAAAAAAAAAAAAAAAAACAGGGTTTTATTGTGCAGTTCAGGCTGGTCTTGAACTTACTTGGTAGCCCAGGCTAATTTTAAACTCATGGTAATCTTCCTGCCTCAGCTTCCCAAGTGCTGGGATTACAGGCATATACCACCACTTCCGGCCTGCCAGTATCATTTTAGAAGAGAAAAAGCTGAAAGCATTCCCTCTCAAAGCAGAAATGAGGCAAAGATGTCCACTTTTTTTTTTTGCACTAGAAATTGAACTCAGGACCTCGTGCTTGCCAGGCAGGTACTAGGCCCATGATTTATACCCCAGACCCCCAAAAGACTTTTAGAGCAGAATATAAAATCAAGATTAAAAAAATAGTTTATTTTCTATACATTGGCAATAGACTAGAGGGGAAAGAAATTAGAAAAACAATTCAATTTTCAAAAGCTTTAAGAAAAACAACTCATAAAAGTAAAAAAAAGAAAAAAAAATAAAGAAAAACAACTTAGGTATAAATCTAACCAAAGAGGTAAAAGACCTCTACAGTGAAAATTTCAGGGACAGGGGATTTGCTCAGTGGCATAAGCACCTTCCTGACAAGCACAAGGTAGTGAGTTTGATCCCCAGTATCAAAAAAAAAAAATTTTTTTTTTTCAGAACACTGAAGAAAACTTTGAAAAAGACACTAGAAGAAAGACCTTCCATGTTCATGGATTGGCAGCTGTAATATTGCTCAAATGGCCATACTTAGACTTACCAAGTGATCTACAGATTCAATGTACTCCTCATCAACCTACCAATGTCATTCCTCAAAGAACTAGAAAAACAATCTTAAAATTCGTATGGAAACACAAAAGAGCCAGAATAGCCACAGCAACAGGAACATGTTTAGAGGCATCTTAATGCTTGATTGCAGGTATTGGGAAAGAAAAGAGTGATTAAATTATGTTACATGCATACAAAAACCTGCCCCAAATGAAACTCATTCATTTGCATACCAATATTTAATAATAAAAAAAAAATGTGTGTGGGAAGGCGAGGGATGTAGCTCAGTGGCAAAACTCTTGGGCTCAACCCCCAGCACGACTGGATTAATTAATTTATTTGCCTTTTTTGAGACAGGGTCCCTCTATGCAGTTCATGCTGGCCTTGAGCTCACTTTGTAGAATTAATTAATTTTAAAATACCTGTATCATTAATATACTTGTATTTCCTATGCATGCTAGGAACTTGGCACATACAAGGTGCCCAAAAACTACTTGTGAAAAAATAAATTGCACCAAGAGCATATTAAAAGGATAGGCACTTAAAATATAAATTAGAAAGGCTGGGGATTTAGCTCAGCAGTATAGGCACCTGCCTGGCGAGCACGAGGTTGTAAGCTCAATCCCTGTACCAAAAAAAAAAAAAAAAGGTGTCATTAGAGGTTATGTTGTAAGTTCAAAATTGATAAATTAAAAAATTTCTAAAACAAATATATATTTTAAAAATATAATTAAAAATTAATAAAAATCATCAGAATATTCTCAGGACTGAGGGTGAAGTATACCACAGTGGTAGAGCCTATCTAACAGGCACTAAGGCCCTGAGTTGAGCCTGAGCACCTAAAAAAGCAAGTGGAGAAGGAGGAGGAAGATGGTGCTTAAATAAATCACAGAGTGATCATTGGAATAGCGTCTAAAACTGGGTAACAAATTATCTGACTAAAAACCCTCGCATGAAGTTATCCAACTGGGACTGGTTGCTAAGAACACAATATTTTAGAAAAAAGTTCATAAACTCTAGAGAGGATTACTAAATTAAGATCTAGCTTTTCATTTTTACTTATCCTTGGCCTCCCACTCATTTTGCCCTGTTTCTTCTCCAGTTTCATGATGTGGTAGGAGAACAATTTTCTCAGATAAGATCTGCTTCCAGAGAGCCTTTTTTGATCACTTGACTTCTCAGGGTCTTAGTTTCCTTATCTGAAAGGTGAGATTTGGAGATGATCCTGAAGGTCCCTTCCCGCTCCAAAGTCCTAGGTGCCACCTGTTCCCCCAAGGTTCTTTCTATTCTATTAACTGAATATTATTCATAGTTTCTGACGTAGTTCCTTTAGTAATTCCAGTCCCTCCAAAAACTTGTTTCTGCTACTGAAATCTTTCTTTCTTGTCAGTCTGATGTGCTGTGTTTTTTGTTTTGTTTTGTTTTTTTGTAACAGGAATTGAACTCAGGACCTTGCACTTGGCAGGTAAGCACTTGGCCACAGAGCTATATCCCGGCCCTCTGCTTTCCTCTTGACTGCTGTCGTGGCCTTTCTCACTGTCCCCTCTCTTCTGACTGTATCTGTCTGATCATCTTTCTAATGCCCATCTTGAGGATCTGCAGAATTTAACAAATTGTAGGGGCTGGGGATTTAGCTCAGCGGCATAAGCACCTGCCTTGTAAGCAGGCGGTCATGAGTTCGATCCCTGGTACCGGTAAAAATGAAAAAGACAAAAAAAAAAAAAATGAATTTAACAAATTGTCTTTATAATGTGTCCCTGACACTCACCCTCTCTCTCTCTCCCACTCCCACCCAACCCTCCTCCTCCCGCTTCTCCTGTACATAACAGGAGCTTTGGCTTTCCCGTATAGGAGCAATGAGAATGGAAAAACAAACGAGGAGAAGCACAACAAATACGCTCCAACCTTCCCCCATAGGTATTTAAATTCCTGCTGTCCTTAACACAACGAACTCTGAAAAGCAACACCGGACAAGATTCAGCCTGAAAGAGTCTCCTTGATCTTCACTCCTCCCCTCTGCCCCTAAAACACCATGGCAACAGCCACCTGAAAGAGGCTGGGCAGAAACCAGCTCCTGAGACCAGGCTCCTTGGCCAGGGCTTTCTTATTTAGCAAACTTTCGCAAGGAGCACTTTCCCCTACCCTTCGTTGCCTTGTGACCTTAATGCTGGCAAGACAAAGAACATGGGACAGTATATGTAATTCTAAGAACCATTATTACTCTACGTAGTTCCTTGCAAATCTTCTGATTTTCTTTGGATGTTGAAACTTTGTCATCCTCGGGGCTGGAGACTTGGCTGAGTGGTAGAACACTTGCCTAGCAAGCTGGAAGCCCTGGGTTCCGTCCTCAGCACCAAACCTGAAAAACAAAAAATCCATTAAAAAAAATGCAAAAGAAACTATGTCATCCTCCAAGTCTTTAGCCAGAAAGTAAGAACCTTAAAAGAGGTCAAAAATCAGCAGAAAGTGTCACATTGTCCAATCAAGCATCTTTTAGGGAAATTTCATCTTTTACGCTGTGTAAACTTTTTTTTGTTTTTGTAGCAGGAATCAATTTTGCACTTGCCAGGAAGGCACTTAGGCCACTGAGCTATATCCCCAGCCCAAAATTTCATTTTTTTTTTTTTGTCTTTTTCATTTTTATCGGTACCAAGGATCAAACTCATGACCGCCTGCTTGCAAGGCAGGTGCTTATGCCGCTGAGCTAAATCCCCAGCCCCTAAAATTTCATCTTTTAGACTGTCCAATCAAGCATCTTTTAGGGAAATTTCAACCTTGCCACTTACCAGCTATGAGACCTTGAGCAAGATAGCCAGTTTGCCTCTCTAAGCCTCAGTTTCCTTACTCATAAAGTGGGGTGTTCTGAATGTGTGATATGGGGGTTACAGTATATAGTGCTTTGCAAAGTTACTTTAAGAATAAATTGAGAGGGCTGGGGATTTAGCTCAGCAGGCATAAGCGCCTGCCTGGCAAATGCAAAGTCGTGAGTTCAATCCCGGATACCACAAAAAAAAAAAAAAAAACGGTAAGTTGACATTATGTATTCAAAGGGCCTGACACACAGAATATACAACAGCCAATATACCATTACGGTTATCAATAGAAATGTTTTTCTAGATTCCTAGTTTAATTCTCTTGCAATTAAATCAAGGACTCTAACTCCTTGAAAGGTAGAAGAAATGACTTCATAAATCTATAAGCAAACTAAAAAAAGCAGAATGCTATGAGCAGAGTTCTGTCCTGAGAGAAGCAGTGAGAGAAATGGCAAAAAGCTTCCTGGAACCCCTCATGACTGTAGTTTCACTTTTAGGGCAAAACTGACCATGAGTTTAAAAATCCTTTTAAATAGCTAAAAAGTGTGTCAACCTTAACTTCAATAAACTTTCAGCCAGCTGTAGCACCTTCACTTGAAAAGTGTGTTATTTATTCAATCAACAGTGGGGCTGGGCTCATGTGTACAGGGCTTCTTTTCCAACAACACTGCAGTCCCTAGGAACTTAAGGCCTAGTTTAGGAACCATCAGGCCAGTCCAATTGTTTCAGACTTGACTCTGCATAAGAACCAATTCGTAGATTGTTTTAAAGTCTTCGGTCTTAGCCCCAGAAAACCTGTGTTGATGGCAAAGACTCAGGAATATGAATTCTCCATGAACTCTCAGGTAAATACAGTGCATGGCAAACACAGGTGCAGAGGAAAGTCCAGCACCTGGGAATTGGCACCACTGGCTCCTCCCCACCCCCACCCCATTCAGTAACCTTCTACATCTTACAGTTCCTGGCTTCTTTAATTGGGTGGTTTGCTGATACCACAAAGCAGTAAATGAAACAATTGATTCACTGTAACAGAAAAACAACAACATGTTTGTGCTTTTTTTTTTTTAAAGAATTTAATTTTTTGTTTTGTTTTATTTTGTTTTGGTACTGCTGGATTGGATTAAGCCCAGGTTCCTTACATATGCTAGCAAAGTGCTCTATCACTGAGCTACCTACATTCCCAGCCCTTAAGGTTTTCATTTTGACACCAAAATACTTTAATGTTCATTTTAACTAACCCGTAGACACGTTTTATTCTCAGGTGGTCTGGATCAGCAACTGACTCCACGGTATAAACACCTCACCAGTACTGTTAGCCAATCCTGGTTTTCTTATCCTTTAATTATTTCCAATGACCTTAAGTGGTTCTTCAGTTTCTTGGGAATTAAGCCCTTAGGTTACAAGGTCAAAAGACCATAGAATATTTCTAATAATTAGATCACAAACTGAAGAAGGAAAATAAGAAAATTTCTGTGCTAATATTTTGTGGTTCTGACTCTTCCCATCCCCCATTTTATTCTCTCGCTCTCTCTCTCCCTCTCTTCTTTTCTCTTTTCCCTCCCTCTCTCCTTCCTCTCCCCTCTTCACTTCACCACACACAGAAACCCCTTTTCAAAGGGGCTTTTTTCCAACTCAGTGAAGTAGAGTCTTTGCCCCTTTGTGGGAAAGGCTCATTAACATTCCCACAGCAGCATCTCTTCAAGGATTCTACTTTTGTAACTCTGTGGGGAGGTCAAGAGGCCACAGTGGAGAGGTAAAAGGGAAAAAATGGTAAACGGGGAGGGCGGAAGAAAGGAGAGGAGGGGAAAGAGTCCTTCCTTTCACAATAAAGCCAGGAAGGAGGCGAGAGAAAACATAGGAAAAGATGAAGACAGCCAAGACGTAGCAAAGCAACATGGGACCTCGAAGTCTGCCCCTTACAGATTTCATAGACTTCTGACAAGAGCACAAAGCTATGTGTCTTCTCTCTTTTATTTTTCCTCATAAAACATACATGATGGGAGCAGTGGGATATATTTTTTTTTTTGAGGAATTAGAAGCTTTCCTGGCTTCGACAGCCCCATTTCATTTAAAGTAGCCCAGTAGTTAATAATGGCACTTTTCTACACAGAAAAATTAATATAATTAATTAGACCACTTCAGGTATAAGCATTCCAAGAATGGAGGTGAGAGAGTCATCCAGCATCCTGACAGCAAAGATCTGGAAAAATAATGAATATTGTGTGAATTCCAAAGCAGAGACCAGAGTGCTTCCTAAATCTCTTTAGAAGTGCATACCTACAGGCTGGGAGTGTAGCTCAGAGGTGGAGCACTCACCTACCCAGTGTGAAGTTCTGGGTTCAATCCTCAGCCCTGAAGAAAAAAAAAATAGTGGGAAACCTGCCTCAGCCACTAACAGAGGCATCTATTGTCTTCCTCTCCTATTCTTAGGATTTGCCACAGTATCCTGGACTTGCAGAAGAGAAGAAATGCAAAACCTTCCAAAGTGCCCCCCCATACTGTGAGCTTTGTTTTGCTTTCCTTTTTCTCTGAAGACAGCCATCGGAGATTTACATGACTGAACTTAAAAAGAGGAAAAATAAGTCCCACTTTTCCACCTGAGAATGTTCCAGGTGCTCTCTTGCCTCAGCTTGCAAACTAAAGGCACATAAAGTTAAGAGAAGGGAACCCAAGCATTACAGCTAAAAGAGTGGATATATCTGGCATTGCTTGTGCCCAGAAGCCCAATATTACTCTAATTCAGGTCAAGAACAGCATAGTCGGGGCTAGGGATTTAGCTCGGCGGCATAAGCACCTGCCTTGCAAGCAGACGGTCCTGAGTTCCATCCTCAGTACTGATAAAAAAAAAAAAAAAAAAAAACAGCATAGTCAGGAGTTAAAGAACAATTTGATCCCCAGGACCTCAATAAAGAAAAAAAAAAGTTGAAAAACAATAAAATGACCCTTAGTATGCAGGCTGAGCTGGAGATACCTGGTGGTTTCTCAAATGATATTTGCAGAGGTAGAGTAGTTTGTTTGTGTATTTTGGTTTGAAGGATTGAGTTCAAGGCCTCATGCATGCTGGGCAAGTGGTCTACCCCTTGAGCTACTCAGGCAGCCCAGTAAAGATGGAGGAATGTGTAGAGGCCCAGTTTCATAGCCACAAAAAAATCTTTTATATCCACAAGAAAATCCTTTACACAGAATCTTGAACAATTATTTGGCCTCTGTGTGAACATATTCGAGAGACATCACAAGTCATTAGTCTTTCACACTGTTGGAAAGCACCTTTATATTCAGCTAAAAGTGCCTCCTTACAGGTTTTGCCCTGGGAAACCCAGGAACTCATCCTCCATAGTCTTAGGTACACCCCTTTATCTATGGGAACTGAACAGGACTGAGAGACATGTAAAGCAACCAATCCTGTTGCTATTGTAAGTGAAATCAGCTGGGTATGTAGCTCAGTGGCATAAGTGCCAGCCTGGCAAGTGTGAGGTTGTGAGTTCATTCCCCAGTAGCAAAAAAAAAAAAAGTTTAAATAAGTAAATAAATAAAACCTGGTGTAAATGAAATCATTAAGATCAATCATTTTTTGTTTGTTGTTTTTGCAGTACTGGAGACTGAGCTCAGGTTCTTCACCCTGACTTCACCTACATCCTTGACCTTTTTTTGTTTTGTATTTTGAGATAGGGTCTTGCTAAGTTCCCCAGGCTTGGTTTTGGGATTCTCCTGCCTCAGCTCATAACACCAAGTGTTTTTCATCTTTTTTTTTCATGCTAGCAGTCTAATGGCGTACTGTATCTTTACCAGCATGGAATACACACCTGTGTTCCACTCTCAGTTCTATCATAGCTGTGGAACCTAGGATCTCTGTAGGTTTTTTTGATCCCCATAAAGGAATCCCCTAAAAACAGAAAGAGGCTAAACCTGCCGTGCTAATCTCAACGCTATAATGTTAAACATGTCACATAAATGAAAATACCATATAAACTATCCAAAACTGTGCACTTATTTTAATGCCTGTCTTTACTCAATATTTACAGAGAGCTGACTTTCTTGCCTTGTATCTAGGATATACCAGAAAATTGTTAGTCGTTACCTCTAAAACATCCACACTGTCAAACAGGCAGTTAGGAGAGGACTCAGGCACTGCAAATCTGTTGAAGAGGAGTTAGGAAAACAAATGGGTAATCTCTGAAAGACAGCACGGGAGAGGCAGGAGCCCCGGCAGGGAGGAGAGGGTTAAATCCTCTCCTCAGCAGTACAAAAGAAAAGAGTGTGCGGAAAGATTAGGATTTTTGCTTTTACAATGGGAGCTGCAGAAGCGTAGGGAAGAAGCTGAAGAAAAAAAGGGGGCGTCTCCCCTTTAAAGACTTGCAGAGATTGAGAGAGTCAGGAACAGAATCAGAGAGAGTCTGTCTGTCTCTGAGGAAAGAGAACATCTCTGCTCAGAGTGATTTGCACTGGGGGGAAGAGGCATCCGCTGGCTTCAGACCCAAGGGGGAGCCCGGACCAGGTCACCCCGGTGGAGCCTAAGTGAGCCTTGCCCCTCCTTCTCCCACTTCTCCACCCGGGAATGTCTCGGCGAAAGCAGCGGAAACCCCAACAGTTAATCTCGGACTGCGAAGGTCCCCGAGCGTCTGAGAACGGTGGGTGCTGGGGAGGGCTGGGGGGCCCCGGAGTCCCAGCCCGCGGGGGTCAGGCCGGGGCCAGGGGAGGGCACCTGGGCCACCAGCGAGCCCGGGCGGGGGAGATGCAATCGCTGGGAGAGAGGGGATGACCTGTGCTGGGGAAAAGTCCCCTCGGGTTCATTCTGCTTGTGTTTTCGTTGTTTCTCTCTGGATGAAATGGAGTTTTCAAACTGCTCTGTATCCCCACCCAAGAGTTTTCTCCCCAGGTCCCCCTTTGCTCACAGGTCTTTGTGCCGTTGCTAGGTAACGTCCTCAGACCTGAAGACCCGTCTCTTAGGGGTGGGATTCTCCCCCCTCTTTCTGGAGAGTTGGGTTGCAAGAGAATGAATTGGATAAACGTGAAGGTTCCCCTGAGGGAGAAGAGAAAAAAGTTTCTCATTGTTGGGCTGAGCTGAGAGCGGATCAGAGCTCCCAGAGGGAGCGAGAGTGAAAGCTAATGTCGGTCAGAACACAGCCCGTTGGGGTGTGGATCTCTGTCCTCTGCAGGGCGGAATGGAGGAGGGTCTGCGAGAGGAGTTTAGGTTTGTTTCAAGGGAGGTCAAGCTAACGAAAAAAAAAATGCAAGTTAACATAAGTTAATATATGCATTTCATCTTGCAAGGATATTACTGTGTATGTGTTTTAAGCAACACTTTCTTTATGAGAAGGAAAATTATATGCACTCTTGTAAGCTTCAGTAAATGAAGAGCAGATACCAAATAGAGTGGGGAGGATATTAGGAAGTGACATTGTCCACAGCCTTAGAAACAGAAAGAGGCAGCATCAAGACAAGAACTCAGGTTTCCAGGTGTTCGGGGATGATGTTGCTTGTCCCAATAAATCAGGGCTTTGCCAACTTGCTTAATTGTGAGTAAATTTAAACTGGGGTCTAGGAATCAATATCTCCTGCAAGTGCCCAGGTACTTCTCAGCGTCGAGCAAGCTTTGGGTATATTTGTCAGTGGTATGGCTACCTGTGCACACTGAAAGTCTAGGAGTTTTGGCTCAGGGGTCAACTATTGATATACAATAATGTAGCATTGGGTCAGGCACAAGTGATCAGAGATTTATAGGACTGGCTTCCAGTCAAATCCTGACTTTGCCTGTCTGCCTCAGTTTCTTCATCTGTAAACTAGAGATGATTATATTAGTTACCTCATTAGGGTGTGAGAATTGAAATAAGTTAATTATGTGTAAAGCCAAGACAAAAAAAAAATCCATTTTAAAAGGGGCTGGAGATTTAGCTCAGCGGCATAAGCGCCTGCCTTGCAAGCAGGCAGTCGTGAGTTCGATCCCCGGAAATAAGACCAAAGATCAGGAGCCTCTTGACAAACTTCAGCCTCTCTTCACCAGGCAGGTGCCATGAAAACCTCCAGAGTGGTGTATATGCAGTGATTAAAACTAGTCATGGATTAAACTTAATTTCTACTCATTGTGAAAAAAAAATGACTTCAGGTCCAATCGGGACTCCAACAAACAACCTTAACAGAGGTGCTAAGTTTGGAGTAGGGCGCAGCGAGCTGCTGCTCCACTGTAACCCCCACTGCGCCCATGTTTAGAGGTTCCGTGGTGGCGGCCTCCTTCCCTCCTGAGACACATTAACCCTCCTTAATGCTGCTATACGCCGGATGTTTCCTCCGGTGCGCACTACGGGAGACTTCCCCTGGAGCAGGAGAGTTGCCTCATAGCTCTGCTCCCCTGCTGGCTCAATTGTGGAACTATGCTGAACACCCACCCCCAGTCCCCAAAGAAATCTCTCCTTCCTTCCATCTGCTCCCCAGGTCCCTATACCCCAGCGGAGGAAATATCTTCTGCGAGGCAGTCAAAAGGGTATTCAGCAGCTGCTCCAAATGGATTTTCAAGCCCTTTGAGACAAAGCTCCCTCTTGGGAACATGGACACGGGGGTGGAGGTACAGACACAAGGGGGTGCTACCACAAAACTGTTGCCGTAGAAATAATAAAGGCTTCAATCCAGTGGAAGCAACAAATTTCAGTGATATTTTGCCTGTGAGTTATGGAGAGCAAAAGTAAATAAATGCAGGGTGTCAGAAAGCACTGTAACCTTTGTTAAGAGGTGCCCTTGAGAACACCTACTCAGGAGTTTCTCATCAGAAGTCCTCTGAAAGTAAAACACCTTGACTACTTTTGTGACCTGAAATTTCATTCAGTCTCATCTGCAATTTGTAGTGCCCATGTAAAATTTCTCCCTGTTGTGTGTGTGTGTGTGTGTGTGTGTGTGTGTGTGTGTGTGTGTGTTTGTTTTGGGGGTTTTTTTTTTTTGGTCTTTTTTTTTTTGGTACTGGGGCTCGAACTCACAACCGCAAGGCAGGTGCTTATGCTGCTGAGCTAATCCCCGGCTGCTTTTTTGGTCTTTTTGACACAGGGTCTCTTTATGCAGTTCAGGCTGGCCTTAGGCTCACTTTGTAGCCCAGGCTGGTCTCCAACTTGCAATGATCTGCCTGCCTCAGCCTCCCAAGTGCTGGGATTACAGGAGTGTGCCACCACACGCAGCTTTTTCTTCCTGCCCTTATAAACTGACAAATATACAAATTACTTTCTCCACTTTATAGACAAGATCCTATAAGGAATGGGGGTGTGGCTTGATGGCAGAATGCTTGTCTAGTATGCATGAGGCCCTGGATTATCCTTTACACAGAATCCTTGACAGTTACTTGGTCAGCTTCTGACTTATTTATCACAGAGCATGGCCTCAAATTAGGTAGGAAGAGGCTTGGAGTGTAGCTCAGTAGGAGAGCCCTTGCTTAACCTATAGGAGGTCCTGAGTTCAATTCTCAGTAAGGAAAAGGGGACAGGCAGTGGGAGCTTTTCTTAGGGGCCCTTTGTACGCCTTAGATATTATGGCCATTATAGTTACTATCAGCAGACCTATTCAGTAGCCTAGAATGCCACTAAAGCTCTCAAGTTTTTGGCCTTATTTTAAGCAGTGTTTATCATCTATAAAAAGCAAGTGTTGACCTTTTTAAATGATTTAGCACCATGAAACAGTCTGAAAAACCTGTTTTTCAGCTCTGTTTTTGACCATACCACCAAAGCCTAACAGAATAGTTATTGTACATAAGTGATGAGCAGGAATAGTGTACTTAAAAACTCTGGCAAGGAGGAAAAATCACTCCCCCTGCCACAGAGTCTAGAAATCTGAATTAGAGAGCTTGAGGGATGTAACTGGGGAAAATGCAAACTAGTACATCTGGGAAATAAAGGAAACGATCAGAAACCCAGATATTTAGTGAGGAGAAACCAGGACACGACAAACAGATCTAGCGGGAGAGAAGAGAGTACTTTAGATGGAAGTTGGCAGACAGCAAGAACAGCAAAAGGGAAAAGAAGGCAAAAATAGTTTCGAGGATTCAATGTCATCACCCAGAATATTGGGCCCTGGGCTCATTCAGCTGAATGTGTCCTCTTCCCAGGGTAAGGGTCAGAAGGACACATTTCTGGGCAGATAGAAAGCAGCTCAGGTCTGGATAGAGCACTGAATAAGAAAGCAGGAAACTTGGTCTTCATTCAGACGAGACCTCATTGACCCTGGGCAACCTTTCCATCAAATAATAACATTCATGGCTAATATTTGTGACATGTTCTGGCACAATGCTAGCCACTACTGCTTTAACTCTCATTTATTCCTTTAATTCCCCTATTTGTATCCCACTTCACACACTTGTTTTTCTAAGACACAATCTTACCCTGCCTGGCTTCTAACTCTGAGCCTTCTGCTTCTTTTTTTTTTTTTTTTTTTTTTTTTTGGTACCAGGGATCAAACTCACAACCTAGCACTTTTGCCAGGCAGGCGCTTATGCCGCTGAGCTAAATCCTCTGCCCTGAGCCTTCTGCTTCTGCATTATCTGGTTTACCCATCCCTCAGTTTAAAAAAAATTAAAACTTTCATTATAGAAAGATATGCATAACAAAACTGACAAAGTGGGCCATTATAAGTGTACACTTTAGGGGCATTCGACATGTTTGTAGCCATTGCCTTCTATTTCCAGAACTTTTTCATCATCAAACAGAAACTCTTACATCTTTTAAACAGAAATTTCCCACTTTCCCTTCCCCATGTTCCCTGGTAGTTTCTTTCTTTCTTTTTTTTTTTTTTTTTTGTCTTTTTTCTTTTTATCAGTACTGGGGATTGAACTCACAACTGCCTGCCCGCAAGGCAGGCGCTTATGCTGCTGAGCTAAATCCCCAGCCCCTTTATTGTTAATTTTTTTTTTTTTTTTTTTGTACTGGGGATTGAACTCATGACCGTGTGCTTTCCAAGCAGGTGCTTATGCCACTGAGCTAAATCCCCAGCCCATGTAGTAGGGTTTTTTGAGGCAGGGTCATACTACATAGTGTTCAGGCTATCCTTGAACTCACTATGTAGCTCAGGCTGGCCTAGAACTCAGTAATCCTCCTGCTTCTGCCTTCCAAGTGCTGGGGTTATGGGCATGTGCCACCAAGCCCAGCTATCAGAATTTTATTCCATTTGTGGCTGTACCCCACTTTTCCTGCAGTATTGAGGATTTAATCAAGGAACATTTTACCATTGAACTACATCCCCATCCTTTTTTATTTTTTGAGACAGGGTCTCTCACTAAGTAGCCCAGAATGAATCCAATTTGCATTCCTCCTGCCTCAGCCTCCAGGAGCAGCTGGGATGACAGGTGAGCACCACCACACCCAGTTTGTACCTCATTTTTTTTTTTTTTTTTTGGTCTTTTTCGCTTTTTATCGGTACCAGGGATCGAACTCATGACTGCCTGCTTACGAGGCAGGCACTTATGCCGCTGAGCTAAATCCCCAGCCCCATGTACCTCATATTTTAAAGAAGTCTTAGCCTATGGAGATTAAGAAACTTTCCCAAGATCACAGAAATGAGAAAGGGCTAGGTCTATAACTCGAGTCTAAATCTTTTTTCTTCTTTTCTTCCCACACCTCACCATGGGGGATTGAACCCAGGGCCTTTGTGCTCAGCTGCATCCCTATCGTCCCCCACACCCTTTTGAAACAGTCTAAATTGATAAATTGCCCAGGCTGGGCTCCATATTTGCAATCCTCCTGCCTCAGAGTGCTGGACCCACCTGAGTCTTTTTATTTTTTAAAAAGTCCATAAAAACCTTTGTTGATATTTGACCTAAGTCTTATTTAGGCAATAAGTATTTTTTTCTCACTTAGCAATAGGTATGTTGCAAATCTTCATGCCTCTAAGTCTACTGCGCTACCCAGTAGACATAGGTTTGGCTGTATTAATATGGTTTGGCAAAGGCTTGTGTGTGCACATTGAAGGGAGAGGAGTGAGAGAGCGAAGACGGGATGTTCTAAGAAGTGAACTTAACAACAGTTAGAAAATCAATTTATTTACAGTTCTGAAAGCTACCAATTAGTGCTGGCCCAATGCTAACAACACATAAGCTCAGGCACATAGTTACATAGTATGCTGTTTCCTCTGTGTTTCATCTTACAATTAGAAATATGGCTGTTTTCAATTTAAATTTTAAAATGCTAAAGATGTACATTTGCTGGGAAAAACAATATAGTTGTTTAAATACACAGGTGTGAATGATATCAAAATCTGTTGTTCAAGGAAGCAAATTCTTATCAGGAAAGAGTGCCACAGAGCTAAAGCATGGTTGCAGACAGAATAGAGAGGCAGCCTGGGGGAAAGACTGAGCACTGAGGATTTTGGCTCCTGTCATCAATTTGGCCAGGTTTACCTCAGGTAGGATTGTGAGGAGCAGGGTGGAAGGTTTGATGGGAAAGACAACCTTCTAATACTGCAGTTCTCATCCTTGGCTATACATTGTGTGTTTGGGTTTTTTGTTTGCTTTGTTTTTTTCTTTTTTGAGACAAGATTTCACTATGCAGTTCAGGCTGGTGTTGAACTTACTTTATAACTCAGGCTGGCCTAGAACATGCGGCAATTCTCCTGCCTCAGCCTCCAAAGTACTGGGATTACAGGCATGTGCCTGCATGTGTGGCTCTATGTATACTTCTGTTGTTTGTTTTGTTTTGTGTGTGTGCTGGGAATTTGGCCTTACGTGAAGCAAGTGCTTTACCACTGAGCCACCTCTCCTGCCCAAAACATCAGAAATTTTTTTTTTTTTAAACAATGCTAGGGATTAGACCCAGGACTCTTACATACAAAACTAACATTCTGCCACTGAACTACATCCTCCCCAACTGGGACATCAGGAATTTTCAGAGCTCTAGGGTTAATCCTAAAGGACGGCAAAATTTGAGAACCATTGTTCAAACATAGGGCTCTGAGACATTTGGACCCACCTCTGGTTTTCTCTTCTGTTTTCCTGTCATCTCAAGCCTGAAGCCTTAGTTGGATGGGGCACCAGAGCCAGAGGGAAAGTTACCCTGTTTTGTTTTTCTTTGTCATTTCAGCTCTTTGTGAATTTAAACAAACATGTCCAGGTCTTGGTCCTGCATCCATCCCAGACTTTGCATTTGACCCATTACTTCACCTGATCTGCTATCTAGGGACACATTACCAGCCTAGTTGGTTCCTATGTTTGTGATTTTATTCGAATCTGCATAAGAATCCTGTCCCCTTTTCAGCATAGGCAGTGAGTGTAAAGTGCTGGGAAGTGTAGGGTTCCTCTTACAGGTGGCTGTTGATCCCTCACCTTTCACCGGGGACTAAATTTACCTTAAAGAAGAGTGCAGATCAGATTACGCATCAGAAAGCTCTTTTCATTAAAGAGCAAGAAAGGGGACAGTGTTTCCTAGGAGAAGATGAAAAGAAAAGGATTTCTTTTCTTGTCAGAAGACTTGACAAAACAGCAACTGGATATCAAATGTTCCATGCTAATTAACAAATGCCCAGTAGAAAGTCTCCATCTGATTCCTTCTCCCTTACTGAGGCCAGAGTGCAAACGGCAGGCAGGAGCCAGCCACACAGCATCCTTTTCTCTAGCTCTAGGGAAGCCAAACAATGTTGAAGTGCCTAAAAAAGCCCTGGAGAGCCCTGGACCCAGAAAAGTCACTCTCTGAGCTCCAGTTCCTTGTCTGTAGGGAAACCTGTGACTTCCATAATTAAGCAGACAGCCCCCCTCATTTGTAAGGGCCTAGAAGTACAGAGCCCATCTGTATGGGAGCTGTGATTCACAATGCTAAAATCCTTAAGATTATCTGAAGTGTCAAAATATAATTCAGTAAGATTCATGTAGTGACTCACACCCATAATCCCAGCACTTGAGAGGCGGAAGCAGGAGAATCACTGCATGTTCTAGGCCAGCCTGGGCCTAGAGTTCAAGACCAATCAGAACTGCATAGTGAAACCTGTCTCAAGAAGACAAAAAAAAAAAGTTTTCAGTTTATAAAGACAGGCAAAATTTATGTTGAAAGTAAAGTAGTCGTTATTAATATTTTAATAAGGTTGTTAGCTCTCCTCCAAAAAGACTACTTATCTTTGACATTTGCCAATGATACTAAGCAAGTTCTTACCTCAGAAATTAGTAAGAGTGGGGCTGAGGTTAGAGCTCAGTGGTAGATGACCAGTCCATCAGGCCTTAAATTCAACTCTCAGGAGGAGAACAAAACAAAGGAACAATTAAAAAAAGACAGGCAGGAAGCCACATGCTGTAATCCTAGCACTCTGGGAGAGTGAGGTAGGAGGCTCACAAATTCAAATTCATCACAGACAATTTAGAGATTTAGTGAGGACTTGTCTCAAAAATAAGTAAATAAATTTAAAAAAACTGTAGATGTAGCTTAGTGCAAAGGCCCTGAATTCAAACCCTAGTACTGCCAAAAAAAAAAAAAAATTAGATTAACAAACAACATGAAAAACAGATTGCATCTTTAATGTTTATGTATTTAAAGTTACTTTCATTATTTTACTATTCACAATGTAAATAATAATACTTAGGACCCTTCGAACTAAAAAAAAATCATATATTCATTAATATTATTTGTCAAAAATGTTTCAAGTTTTTGTTCCCACAGTATTATTTTGTGCAGCTGTAGTTTTGTACTTTACACAAAAACCATTATGCCTCAGTTTACCCATCAGGCAAAAATAGAATTGAGTTAACAACAGTACAGAGGCACGAGCCTGGAATCCTAGCACTCAGGAAGCTGAGGCAGGAGGACTGCAAATTTGACCCTAGCCCGGGCAATTTAGGGACTAAAACTGTCGAAAAATAAGAAAAGGTGGTGGGAGCTGGGGATGTAGTTCAGTGTAAAAGCTCTGGGTTCAATCCCCCCACGCCAAAAAGGTGGGTTTACTGATGCCCACAAAACCTGATGATGACCGCAAAACCAAGGCCCTGTGGCTACTTCCTGCATTTAAGATTAAGGATTTCAGGAAGAGAGAAACAACCCCTTTCAGATTCATTTCAAAAGAAACGGAATGCAGAATACCTGGCTCGGATGCCTACTTACCGTCATTGTATGGGAATCAGCCTCCACGGAGGTGAGCTGGCCCCTGTGAGTCACTCCCAGGCATTCAAATCAGGTTGGGGCTGAAAGGGGCTTTGGAACCTGGTGGCTGCCACCACATTTTCCTATTGTTTCAGGAGGAGCTCCCCTCCCCCAGGCCAGAGCTGGGTGGGCCTCCCTAGGCTCGTGCAAGCTAACCTTTCCCTACACCACCGTCCTGTAGAGGGGCGTAGGCCAGTGCTTCTCGGGTGGACAGAGCAGGAAAAGGATAGAAGAGGACACTAAGCTGGAGACAGGTTCTAGCGTACACTCTAGAGTTGAGGTCCAGGCCTAGAGAGCCACGGAGCAGCTTGCGCGCGCTGCGGGAGAAGAAGGCTTAGAGCTCTGGCGAAGGAGTCCTGAAATGACTTCCTTAGAAATTCTACCTAGCAGCCGCCCACTCAGAGAAACTTCTTGTGGCGAGGGATGGGGGTAGTGTGGGAAGGGAAGTGAGGGCGACAAGACAAAACTTGGGAGCATTTTAGTGGTTTGCTGGTGAAGAGAGGATGTTTTGGGCTTCTCCCTTTCTGGCTTCAGACCTCTGCAGAGATCAAACTACCCCTTTTGGCATCCACGTTTTCCAGGCTCAGCGGATCCTTTACCCAAAGAAAAATAAAAGAAGCCTATCGCCGAGCTCCATTGAGCAGGGCTACGTTTCCCACTGTGCCCCTTGAGCTGGGGGGCGGGGATAGACCTGGGCCAAGACATCTGGGGACGGGGGGTAGCTGGCGGAGGACGCAGAGAGGTGGGCGCCACCAAGGCTCCCCGCACCTGTCCCCGCGCTCCGGGCAGCCCTCCGGGGGCTCCGATCCCCACCTTCCCAGAGTGCTCCCGGCCTCGACCTCCTCCCGCTCTGGCCTGGCTCCCCAGCAGCTCCTCCCCACGCTCTCCCCACCACACCTCCCCTCTCCCAGCTTTCTCGCTCCGGCTCCACCCCTCCTCGCGACTCCGAGGTCCCCTCCCCCTCCGCCCGCTCCCTGCCCCCGCCACCGCCGATCTGCGGCTCCGCAGTCTGGGTCCCTGGGTGCAGAGGCTGCTGCAGCCCCGGCGGCCACGGCCGCCTTCCACTCCTAATACCCATTGTCTCCTCCTCTGCCTGGCCCTCCTTCGCTTCCGTCGCCACCATGGCGCACGACGCCACCAGAAGCTCTCGTCTCGGGGGGCCCTGCGGGGAGCCTGCGGAGCTCGGAGGTGCGGTAGGGTGGGACTCGGAGAGGCAGTGGGGCGCAGGGCCGCGGGCGGGGCGAGGACCTCCAGCGGGCGGGATGCAGTGTGTGACTGGTGCCGCGGGCCGGCCTCTCACCCTTTCGCACTCCCTGGGGCGGAAACGGAGGAGGGCAGTGGAAGAAGAGGTCGCGGGTGCGTGCCCTCCGCTGGCGGGTGCTGGGGTGTCTTGCGTCCTCTCGGGTCAGTTCTGAGCTGCAGCCTTGTGCATGGCCTGACTGTGAGCCGTCTCCTTATCCCCAGCTATAGCTAGCGGTTACTGGGCTGCTTGTTAATTAAAGCCTTGGCTCCCCAACCCCACCGCACCACCCATGCTCTCTCTCCTTTTCCCCAGGTGATGCTGCCGAGGGGGACCGCCCCCAGGTCTGTGCCAAATGCTGCGCACAGTTCACTGACCCGGCTGAATTCCTCGCCCACCAGAACGCATGTTCTACTGACGCTCCTGTAATGGTGATCATTGGGGGCCAGGAGAACCCCAACAACTCTTCTGCTGCCTCTGAACCCCGGCCTGAGGGCCACAGTAGTGCTCAGGTCATGGATACAGAGCACAGCAACCCCCCAGATTCCGGGTCCTCGGGGCCCATAGATCCCGCCTGGAGCCAAGATCGGAGAGGAGAGGAATCTTCAGGACACTTTCTAGTTGCTGCGGCTGGTACAGGGGCTGGGGGAGGCGGGGGCCTGGTCCTGGCCAGTCCCAAGCTTGGAGCAACCCCATTACCTCCAGAATCTACTCCGGCCCCTCCGCCACCACCACCGCCCCCGCCCCCACCCCCACCACCAGGAGCAGGCAGCGGCCACCTGAACATCCCCCTGATATTGGAAGAGCTGAGAGTCCTGCAGCAGCGCCAAATCCATCAAATGCAAATGACTGAACAGATCTGCCGTCAAGTGCTGCTGCTGGGCTCCCTAGGCCAGTCCGCGGGGTCCCCTGCCAGTCCCTCAGAGCTGCCTGGGACTGGGCCATCCTCCTCCACCAAGCCCCTGCTGCCGCTCTTCAGCCCTATCAAGCCTGTGCAGACTGGCAAGACGCTGGCCCCTTCTTCCTCCTCCTCCACCTCAGGGGCAGAAGCACCAAAGCAAGCCTTCTTCCACCTTTACCACCCACTGGGGTCCCAGCACCCCTTCTCTGCTGGAGGAGTTGGACGAAGCCACAAACCTGCCCCCACGCCCTCCTCAGCCCTGACAGGCAGCACGGATCAGTTGATGGCCTCACCTCATCTGGCTTTCCCAGGCAGCACAGGACTGTTGGCAGCTCAGTGCCTCGGGACAGCCCGAGGCCTTGAGGCTACTGCCTCCCCTGGGCTCCTGAAGCCAAAGAATGGAAGTGGCGAGCTGAGCTATGGGGAAGTGATGGGTCCCTTAGAGAAGCCTGGTGGAAGGCACAAATGTCGCTTCTGTGCCAAAGTATTCGGAAGTGACAGTGCCCTGCAGATCCATCTTCGTTCCCATACGGGTGAAAGGCCCTACAAGTGCAATGTCTGTGGGAACCGATTTACAACCAGAGGCAACCTCAAAGTGCACTTCCACCGGCATCGAGAGAAGTACCCGCACGTGCAGATGAACCCACATCCAGTGCCAGAGCACCTAGACTATGTCATTACCAGCAGTGGTCTGCCCTATGGCATGTCTGTGCCACCAGAGAAGGCTGAAGAGGAGGTGGCCACACCAGCTGGAGGTGTGGAACGCAAGCCTCTGGTGGCCTCCACCACAGCCCTCAGTGCCACAGAGAGCCTGACATTGCTCTCTACCGGTGCGGGCACAGTCACAGCTCCTGGGCTCCCTGCTTTCAATAAGTTCGTGCTCATGAAAGCAGTGGAACCCAAGAATAAGGCTGATGAAAACACTCCCCCAGGCAATGAGGGCTCAACCATCAGTGGAGTGGCAGAAAGTGGCGCAGCAACCCGGATGCAGTTAAGTAAGCTGGTGACTTCGCTACCAAGCTGGGCACTGCTTACTAATCACTTCAAGTCCACTGGCAGCTTCCCTTTCCCCTATGTGCTGGAGCCCTTGGGAGCCTCACCCTCAGAGACGTCAAAGCTGCAGCAACTGGTAGAGAAGATTGATCGGCAAGGAGCTGTGGCAGTGGCCTCTCCTGCTGCTGGAGCCCCCACCACCTCTGCCCCTGCACCTTCATCCTCAGCCTCTTCTGGACCCAACCAGTGTGTCATCTGCCTCAGGGTGCTGAGCTGCCCTCGGGCCCTACGCTTGCATTATGGTCAACATGGAGGTGAGCGACCCTTCAAATGCAAAGTGTGTGGCAGAGCCTTCTCTACCCGGGGCAATCTGCGAGCACATTTTGTGGGCCATAAAGCTAGTCCAGCCGCCCGGGCCCAGAACTCCTGTCCCATCTGCCAGAAGAAGTTTACTAATGCTGTCACTCTGCAGCAGCATGTTCGGATGCATCTGGGGGGCCAGATCCCCAATGGTGCTGCCACAGTTCCTGAGGGTGGAGGAGCTGCCCAGGAGAATGGCTCGGAGCAGTGTACAGCCTCAGGGGCAGGGAGCTTCACCCAGCAGCAGTCACAGCAACCCTCACCAGAAGAGTTGTCTGAAGAGGAGGAGGAAGAGGAGGAGGAGGAGGAAGATGTGACCGATGAAGATTCCCTGGCAGGAAGAGGTTCAGAGAGTGGAGGTGAGAAGGCCATATCAGTTCGAGGTGACTCAGAAGAGGCATCTGGGGCGGAGGAGGAGGTGGGAACAGTGACAGCAGCAGCCACTGGGAAGGAGATGGACTGTAACCAGAAAGCTGTTCTGCAGGCTTCTCTTCCACCACCTCCACCACTGGCTGACAGTTTGGATCAACCCCAGCAGATGGAGCCAGTGAGCAGTGATGTTTCAGGGAGTCTGGAAGAGGGAAGCAAACCGGAGAGGAGCTCAAGCCCGCCACCGACAGCACTCACCCCAGAAGGGGGAGGTGCCAGCACGCCTTTGGTGGAGGAGCTGAGCTTGCAGGAAGCCATGAGAAAGGAACCCGGAGAGAGCAGTGGCCGAAAGGCCTGTGAAATATGTGGCCAGGCCTTTCCTAGCCAGGTGGCTCTGGAGGAGCATCAGAAGACCCACCCCAAGGAAGGGCCACTCTTCACTTGTGTTTTTTGCAGGCAGGGCTTCCTCGAGAGGGCCACTCTCAAGAAGCATATGCTGCTGGCTCACCACCAGGTACAGCCCTTTGTTCCTCATGGCCCTCAGAATATCGCTGCTCTTTCTTTGGTCCCTGGCTGTTCCCCTTCCATCACTTCCCCAGGGCTGTCTCCGTTCCCTCGGAAAGATGATCCCACGATCCCATGAGCCTGCTTTTTTGTACCTGCTACCCTTTGACGCAGGGTGCAGAAGCTGAAGGCTCCATAGAAAGACCTCCAAGATTTATGAACCTTTATTGTCTTTTTCTCTGAGTTCTTACATGATGTGTCTCTAGTGGCTTTTCCCTAGTCCCTTAGCTTGGAAATTGTCCTTACATAGGGATGGCCCCCTAAGGAATTCTCCTTTCTTTATTCTTTCTCCCTGAGGAAAGTAGATTGTCTTCTACAGCTTTTCCATTCTTGAAGGAAGCCCTCTCTTTTTCCTCTTCCTTTTCCTTTGGCAGGTGCACCTAAGCACCCATCATTGGACCCACAGCTCTGGGGTCAAAGGGACTGGCACCTGTTTCCAAAGGGCCCAGCGCCACTCTCACTGGTGACCAGCTGACGCTGCAGGACTGCTTGTCCCAGGACCTTCCTGCCCAGCTGGCAGGGGTGGCTTCCCCACATTTCTGCAACAGTACACTGCTTTCTTGTCACATGGCCTGCATGCCAAGCCCTGGAGCTCCAGCTTTACCCCCATTACCACTTCAGACCTGGCATAACCAGTGTTGTTTAGTCCAGGAATTGTGGCTGGGAAGGTGACTCCAAAAACAGGACCCAGAGAGGCCAAGGAAAAGACAATCCCTCTTCTATTTCAGTCTCCTGAACTTGAAGCAGTGCATTAAAATCCCATCTTAGGAAAGAAATGACATCACACATTCCTCCTCCCACCTCTTGCTGCAGGAGGTGCTGGGAATGAAGATGTTCCAGGAGTTGGTGTCCCAACCAAAGGAGATAAGGACAAATAAAGGTCACAGAGCTCTTTCCAGCAGACACCTTCACAGTCACACCAAGGCCACTGTGTTGACTGATCATTGTGCCAGGACTTCTCCAGCTTCTTGTTTATCATTGCTTCTCAGCAGGGGAAACCAGCAGATTTCTTGCCAAGAGGTCTCCTATTTGGGAAGTTGGTTTGTCTCTTAAATGAGCTTTGTGAGTGACACTGGTTGATGAAGTAATGTCAGAGAGCTGAGACATGTTGCTAAAATGTAGGGCTTGCTGGGAATCTGCGATTGGAAAATGGGCATTGATATAAGGGAAGGGACTTGGCATTCTTATAATGCGAACATTCTCATGAATATTCTTCTGGGCTGATAGTGACATAGTGTACAGCAGTGCACTAGGAGTCGTGAGGGATTTCCTGGCCCTAGTGTGCTTCTAGTTTTAAATAAATGCCCGCTTTTATTCCCTGACCCTTTGTATGTTCCTCATTGTTGTCTCTCAAGGTCCCTTCTCTCCCCTTTTGCCTGATCATGGACTGAAGGTTACGTCTTTGCCTCTGTCTGGTTCTTAGGTGCCCAGACTTGGGGAGAGACAAGCTTCGGGTGTTCATCTCTGCCTGTCTGTCTTACAATGAGGTGTAGTGTTTACTCTTAATATAGGATCTTTGGAACTGGAGTTCTGAGGAGAAGTGAGAGTTTTGCTGTTGACTGATGTTCACTTCTCCAAAGGACAAGAGTGGCTCCAGTGCTTCCTAACATAGTGAAATGTCAAGAGCAGACAGGAGATACTAGTGTCTTTCCCTGTATCATTAAAGGCATTTTGGCCAAATATTTGTGTGTGCATGTGTGTTTTATTTCCTACCCTAGGTAGCCAGCTGGGGAGTGATACAGGCATTCCTGAACATGGAGATTCCCTTCCCACCTACATCTCTTGCCAAAGCTGAACATATGGTGTTGAAATAGTTTATTCAGCCTTGTCTTAAAACAACCCCCAGTGAACATCATTTCCCCATGGAAAACTTTTTCTTGTGGAGTTTGTGTCCTCCAAAGGTAGGGGTTTGCCCACTGTGTCCAATCATTTTCTAGGTTTTCACTCTGCCTAGAACCTAGCACCAAACTTTTCTGTTGGTTGGTTGGTTTAGTTTGCTTTGGTTTGGAGGTTGGAAGGTCCTTGCCAAAACCTAGGATAGCCAGTAAACATCAGTAGATCTGATAACCCAGAAAACTTCAATCCCACAATCTTTGAGATGAAAAAGGGGGAAAATTCAATTCTGATAAATTCTACCAAGAAGATGAAGGAGAACTCTTAAACATTAAACCTCTAGATGAAGGGCCCAGAATGTACCTCAGTGGCACAGTGCCTGCCTGACAAGCACAAGGCCCTGCCTTTGATTCCTAGTACAGAAAGAGAAAGAAAAAATGCAGAGGAAGCTGGGTATTTTGGTACATGCCTGTAAGTAATTCCAGCACCCTGGGAGGCTGAGGCAAGAGGATTGCAAATTGCACCACCTGGCAGTTTAGCAAGACTGTCAAGTCTGGGGATACAGAGATGTAGTTCAGTGTGAAGTCCCTAGGTACAACCCTGAGAAGAGGAGCTGGAGAGTGCAGCTCAGTGGTGCAGTATGTCTCACAGAGACTATTTGCTTCTCAACACTACAAAAGAAAAAAGGCAAAGCAAGTGGGGGAAGGGAATGGAGCTTTTAATGCTCATTTACTCTCCACGACTTAGGCAGGTTCAAGTTTGTCCCATAAGATCTTGTTTTCCTACACAGTGAAGTTTTCCAGAAACCAGGCATGGTGGCACTTGTATATAATCTCAGCACTCTGGGAAGCTGAAGCAGGATCCAAATTTGCCCGCTTGGGCAATTTAATGAGACCCTGTCTTGAATTTAAAAAAAAAACGAAGGAAAAAAATAATTTCTTGAGCTGAGAGCATAGCTCAGAGCACTTGCTTAGTACATCGGAAGCCCTGAACTCAGTCCTCAGTCCCTGCCCCCATCCTCAAAAGAAGAATTAAATTTCCTAAATTCTCTAGACTTCTCTGTGAAATGGTAACTCAGAGAATCTCTGTGCTAATGGGATGGGACCAGCAAAATGATCTGCTCTAAGTCACTCGGCTGGTTAGCAACAGACTTGGCCCAAGAAGCCAGGTCTGCAGAGATGTCCAGTGCTGTGGGATGGTGCTTGCTTCCTGCTACATCAAGATTCCTGATGTAAAGTTGACCAAAAGATGGATAGGAGGGCTGGGAATTTAGCTCAGGCACAAGTGCCTGCCTGGCAAGCACAAGGTTGTGAGCTTGATCCCCGGAACGAACAAACAAACAAACACTATAAAAAAGATGGACAGGAAGAGGTAAGTAAACCTATTGTGGGCTCAATTCAAGAACTAATACTCGATCTTAGTTGCCCCACCAGAGCAGTACAGGTTTTTTTAACATGTAACTGGTGAAGTACATGGGAATCTTGGAAAAGCATCTCCTTTCACTAATACCTGGCAAGCTCCCTAAATCCGGTTTTCCCTTCAGCCTATGGAAGGAGGTGGGTCCCTAATCCATCCATTCCTTTAACCTCCCTACTCCCTTGAGACATAGCTGATGCTGTTTAACCCAACCAGACACCCTCTCTGGGTGCCAGAATTTATGATGGCAGCAGCTGTCAGTGAGGCTTCTGTTGATGAATACGCCCTTGGGCAGCCCAGCACCCCAGCCGCTTTCACAGCTTGACTTTATTTTCTCTTCTGTCTGCTTTCATTCATCTTGTTCCTCTCCTGTCCTTCTTTATTTTCTTTCTTTTTTTTTTTTTTTTTTTTTTTTTGGTCTTTTCATTTTTATCGGTACCAGGGATCAACTGATGACTGCCTGCTTGCAAGGCAGGTGCTTAAGCCGCTGAGCTAAATCCCCAGCCCCTTACAATAAGAATATTGTGGGGCTGGGGGTTTAGCTCAGCGGGATAAGCACCTGCCTTGCAAGCAGGCGGTCGTGAGTTCGATCCCCGGTACCGATAAAAATGAAAAAGACAAAAAAAAAAACAAAAACAAGAATATTGTAAGAATATGGTGATGTTTTAATTAGATTGAGGTAGAAAGGAAGGAGAGTTTGGAGACAGGAAAACTGGTTAGTAGTCTATTGGTAAGAATTTTAATTAAGCCAGGTGTAGTGGCTCAGGCCTGTAATCCCAGCATTACAGTTGTGGAGGTTGAGGTGGGAGGATCCTTGTGAATTGGAGACCAGCCTGGGCTACAAAGTGAGCTCAAGGCCAGCCTGAACTGCATAGCGAGACCCTGTCTCAAAAAAGACAAAAAAAAAAAAAAAAAAAGAATTTTAATTAAAAACTGGTTATGGATAGTGGTAGGGGTGAACATGAAAGAGGGCCTTTAAAACTAAAATGTTTATGTATTGGAATGTAATTATTTCACTCATTTATTTAGTAAACATTGAGTGACAACGATGTGCTAAGTACTATGGAGACAGTAGTGATTAAATTTTCATATTTATCTCGTATCCTTTACTTAGTTTACTTGGGAATTTACACTATCTTTTTGAGATGTGTAATTTGTATGTGATAATTAAAGTAGAGAACACAGAAGTGAACACGAGCTCATATGAGCATCCCTGGATATTTAATCATCAGTATTACACTTAACTGAAAGCAAAACCTCAGTATTATCATCCTCAGCTGAAATACTATTAGGAAGGTGGGCATGGTAGAATACACCTGTAACCCCAGCACTTGGGAGGCTGAGGCAGGAGGATCCACAAGTTCAAGGCCAGTTTGGGCTACATAGAGAGTTCAAGGCTACCCTGAACTGCCTGATGAGAACTTATCCCAAAAAATTAAAAAAAGAAAGAGTTGGGAGAGTTGACTGATGTGAAGTTAAGCAGATAGCTCTACCTGTAAGATTTTGTTTTTCCCTCAGAAAAGTTGATAAGGAACTCTTTTTGCTTTTTGTCCTTTCACTTGGAGGACTTCCTGTTTGGCCCTGTATTTAGACATATTATTACTGAAGAGATAATCTCATTATTGTATTATAACGCTGTTAGAATCGTTTGCAAATCTTGGTTCTTTGCTTTAGAAGGTCATTTTGAGAGAGTATGTGTGTAGAGTTAGGTATTGTATCCAGAGCCTCACACATGCTAAGCAAGTACTTTGCCATTGAGTTGCATCTCCAAAATTATTGTTCTTTCAAAGTTCTTAGCACAGAGAAATGAAATATCTAGAAATTATATCCTGGTAAGAATACAGAATCTTGGTGGAAACCAGAGTACTGGATAGAACCATGCAGATGATGGAGGTTGATTTTACCTTAAAGACAAGATTTCAACCCATAGGGGCTGGGGATTTAGCTCAGCGGCATAAGCGCCTGCCTTGCAAGCAGGCAGTCATGAGTTCGATCCCTGGTACCGATAAAAAGGAAAAAGACAAAAAAAAAAAAAAAAAAAGATTTCAACCCATAGATGTTGCAAGTATTATTGTCTGTGTAAGGAATGGCTTTCTAGTGTAAGAGATTCCATCTCACATAATTTGGGGATCACAGGTATATGGTCTCAACTGCCACCTACAAAGGACAACAACACCAAAAAAGGGCAAGTATTCTCAGAAGTCAACCAAACCAAGGGCAGCTCCCCCAAAGTCCTTACTTTCACATTCATTGTGGGAAAATTATTACAGTAATCAACAGGGCAAATTTTGGAACCATGGGAGCGACATATAGGATTCTTTCTAGACTTCTCATGACCAGTTTGCTTCTCAAAGGAAAACCAATGGTGTCTTCCTTTCCCTGAGCAGTACAGAGAGGAGGGAGGTGGACTTGTAGTCAGGAGTATAGATCCAATCGTGGCATGCACAATTGGATGTGCATCAGTGTGGCATGCATCACACTGAACTTTTTCTCCTGTCTGCCGTGGTGGATCGGTTCCAGAGCTGACCACAGTCCCCCCATCTCTCAAGGCCTTGTGCATTGTGATTTTGCCATTCTTCCCTTCATCCTCTTTAGCCTCAGTTGGCCTTCTGACTAGATTTATTGAACATAATGCGGCAGGGGCAGTATTTCCTAACTTCCAGCATCTAGGCCTTAGGAAGCTATGCAGCTTCGGGTTTTGCTCTCTAGGAGACTGAGCCTTCTTGAGTGTCCAGGTACCCCAATAGGTCACTTGAAACAAGGAGAAACCCTGGAGGATGGAAGACCATATTGACAAGGAACCCAGCCTTTCAGCCAGGCACCTACAGGGTCAGAAGTGAGGTCTTGGGTCCTCCACCCAAACCCATGTTTTCTGAATGAGTTCAGTCGTTACTAATGGAACACAGGTAAGCCCTCCTATTTGAGTCTATCCAAGAAATATATAGAATCAGAAAAAAAAAAAACGTAATTATTTAAGTCACAAAATTTTGTACTTTTTACACAATGAATTATTGATACACTACAATACTCTTCAAACACCTCCCTGGCAGAATTTTTTAAAGCATTGATCATACTTTTATTTTTTTGAGACAGGGTCTTGCTGTGCAATTCAGCATACTTTTGAATTCTCTATGTAACCCAGGCTGGTCTCCAACTCATGGTGACCCTCCTGCCTCAGCCTCTTGAGTGCTAGGCTTATAGGAATGTGCCACCACACTTGGCTCAGGTTTTTTTACTATATGACCAAAATCAAAACATCTACTAGGATTATTCAACATACTATTATTAAAAGTTTGAAAAGACAAGGAGATATAAAGAGAAATCAAATTTAGATCTAAGTGAGAATAAGACAAGTGTAATCTGTTTTCAGGAGATAAACTTTACTGATTGACTAAGTTCCAAGAACAGTAACCAGTCTCAGCTGCAAGAGTTT